GGGCGAGGCAGAGACAGCCCCAGAGTACATGGGCGGCAGGACCGCGAGGTCCCGCAGTCCGTGTACTCTGGGGCAGCCCCGTTTGTAACTGCGGATCCGACATAAGTCGGATCCGACATAAGTCGGATCCGACATAAGTCGGGGACTGCCTGTAAATGTAATGCCTTATCCAGCAAGAAAGCCTTAGCCAGCTTTTACCATAATTGAAAGCTATGAATAACTGTAAAACTAAGTGGAAAAATTGGTATGTTTTATATAAGTTTTGTTATTGTGTGGCTGAGTCTACTGCCTCCAGAGTCCTGTCCAGTAGAATTATATTCCCTCAGGTATTGTGCAATCACAATTGTACAGGCCTGTCTTGGAATTAGGGAACCTTTTGTTGAGACTTCAACAATTTGCCTTAGTGCCAAAGCCACGTGAATTCAAATGATACAGCACACTAGCATTTAATATACTTTATAACACACAGGTGGTCAGGGTGGATAAAAATAAAAAAATCTGATTTTATTTATTTAAATCAGATTTTTATATAAAATAATATGTAAAGATAGTTTTAATTAAGATACATCATAACTCAAAGATATCTCATGGAGTAGAGATTATAAATTCTAATTCATGTAATGTTTAAGAAAAGTTTTGTAAATGGGTTCCAATAGTTCATGGATTAGGGACCCAGTCTTTAGGGGTCTCAGAGGCTTCTGTATAGATTATTTAGGTTAATCTTTCTATCTAGGGTCGCCAGATACTTTCACAAAAAAACCCGAACATGTCAGGGGAAAAAAAAAAGGTCGCTGCGCCTGTAAATATCATCTTGCTCCCCTCTGTCCTCCCCAGACATGGCCGGGAAAGAATGTCCCCGCCAGCCGTCCGTCTGAGAGAAACAGAAAATACCAGACATTTTACATGTCCGATATTTTCTGTTTGTTGATTTTTTTTTTTTTTTTTATACCGGACAGGGGCCAGAAGTAATGCAATGGGACTCAGTGCTCAGTCTAGAAGATACCATCAGAGATATTTAGTTTTGCAGTTCTCTGAGTGCATTTGTATCTTCAGAGTTGACATGCTTGTTTACTGCAAAAATGCTTTAAATAAATAAATAATAGAGGTGAGAAATAAGACTCAACCCCATTTGTCCCTTGGCAAATTTGTATATGCAGAGTCAATCCCTTATCTCTTGCTAAAAGTGCAAAGTTTCAAAAAGTTCAATGAATGGAAGCCAATATTTTTGGATTAAAAAAAAACTTGAATGTTAATTAAGTTAAAAAATGCATATGCTTGTTTTGTTAAAATATTATGTTTGCTGTTGAAGGAAAAAAATTCAGAATACATAATGTTGTGGGTTTAGTTACATAAAACGATTTAAATGACTGTCTGGTGCTGTTCTCCTAATACAGCATCGCAAGAAAATATTAATAGCAAATATTAATGATTAATCTATTGAATTGCAGTTAGTTCACCTCAAAATGACATCATATATATTTGCTTCATTTACCAGAGGTAAATGAAATAACCAAACAATCATTCATTTTCTCATATAGCTGTAAAACTAATGTGAAAAGTTTTCAGAATAAATCACTGTTTAAAAATGTATAGTGTGTACTTTCTAAAAATGAAACCTACATATCTCTCTGAATTGTGAAGAATATGTTTTAAGATTATGACAACCAAGAATGCACTTGTATGTAGAAAACCATGATTAAGTCGAGCCTTCTTGATTAGTGATTTAAATCATTATTTAAATCAAATCTACCCTGCATGTGGTTTTGATTTTCCTTTTCCACTTCAGAATTCAGGAAATCTCAGGTATTACTTTCTTCAGACATCAACATGCTTATACCTTTTATCATAGTACTTCTGATTCCAGATGCCTTAATTTTTTCAGTACATTTTGAAGCCTTATGATGTAATTTGTAACAATTAGTCGATAAGGGTGTCTCCACCTTTGAAATGTAGCAAGAGCCCTGCCAGCTCTTGATACATTTCAAAGGCGGAAGCACCCCAGGATCATGGCCAGTGGAGGACTCAAGCAGTCCCCTGGTGGCTCCGCGCTCTCTGCTTTTGCAATGTACAAGAGCGCCCTGGTGGAGGGCTCTTGTACCTTTCAAAAGCAAAGTGGTGCTGGGAGCCCAGGGCCAGTGGGGTAGTGCTTGAGTCCCTAGCTCACCTCAGGTTCCCTGCTGCGCCCCTGCCCCTTCTCCCAACAAAGATGGTGCTGGGGCAAACTGGGTTTTAAGCCGGCTTCCCCCAGCACCAGATCCTGCTCCCCCACTTGCTGCCTCTCTCTGATAGAGGCAGCAAGGACGGGGGGAAGCAACAAGTCAAGTCACTAGTCCACTATCCAATAAGCATTTGCTTATCAGATAGTCAACTAGTTGCTTGGCTCCCTAACTCACAGTACAAGTTACAGTACAATGTACAATTCTAGACAAGTGAAGGAGCAATGTGATACAGAATGGCACCAAGTCCATTTATTGACACATGACAGAAATGGTTCCACATACTGTGTAGAATTGTTTTCAGATTTTTCCTTAACCAGAGACTCCAAGCAATGATTCCAGAAGAGAGACTAACATGGCATTAATAATGATCTCAGCATTCTCCAATTAACCCTCCTTCAATTCTCTGATTTAAAAAAAAAAAAAAGCCCATGAAAATCCATGGTTTTCCATGACAAAAATGAAACATTAAACTAGGTTGAGGTCATCGAGTCCAGTCCCCTGCCCTCACGGCAGGACCAAAGCACCATCTAGACCAGTGGTTCCCAAACTTTTCGGCATCACTCCCCCTTTTTGATTGTTGAGAAACCCTCCCCCTCCCCCAATAGCAGCAACACTTATAGAGCAAAAAAAAAAAAGGAACTGACGGGGGCCAAAAAACAAAAATAGCAGCGAAACTTAGAGGGGAAGATTGACTGGGGGTGCTGGGTTGCCTCACATCTCTTCTCCCCCTGGAATTTCTTCACACACCCCAGTTTGGGAACCCATGGTTAGACCATCCCTGATGGTGGCTGGTCCTGCTGCAAGGGCAGGGGACTGGACTCAACCTCTTGAGGTTCCTTCCAGTTCTAGTGTTCTATGAACTAGTCTCCCTACTACAGTATATAAAGGTACAAGTGTTTTATTGATATACAGTAGAACCTGTTTATCCCAGCCTCCATTATGTGGTTTTCTATATTAACTGAACTACTAGCTGTCCATGGACTGTCTGTCTGAGCTCCAGCTGCCCGAGCTTTGAGCACTACGCAACTGGTGGTTTGGTTAATATGGAGAATTGGATTATGGAGGCTCAGATAAATTGGAGTTTATGGATACAGTATATATTCTGTGGTTTTTTACAACAGTCAAAAACTAAAGATTCACTGCAAAAATGCAAATTCCACATTTTTCCATGACACATGGATTGTTATGATCCCTAAAAATGATAAGCTGTGATGTCCAAACCATATAGACTCAGCGACTAACTGGAGTCTTGTGTCCAGTTCTGGGTGTCATGTTTCAAGAAAGATGTGGACAAATTGAAGAAAGTCCAGAGAAGAGCAACAAAAATGAGGAAAGGTCTAGAGAACATGACCTATGAAGGAAGACTGAAAGAACTGAGCTTGTTTAGTTTGGAAAGGAGAAGACAGAGAGGGGACATGATAGTGGTTTTCAGGTATCTAAAAGGGTGTTGTGTGGGCGGGTGGGGGAGGATTGTTCTCCTTGGCCTCAGAGAATAGGACAAGAAGCAATGGGCTTAAACTGCAGCAAGGGAGGTTTAGGTTGGATATTAAGAAAAACTTCCTGTCAGGGTAGTTAAACACTGGAATAAATTGCCTGGGGAGACTGTGGAATCTCCATCACTGGAGATATTTAAGAGCAGGTTGGACAGACACCTGTCAGGGATGATCTGACCGTGCGTGGTCCTGCCGTGTGGGCAGGGGACTGGAGTTCAAGGTCCACCTTGCTGAGTATCTTCCGACAGTGGCCAATGCCAGGTGCCTCCGAGGGAGTGAATAGAACATCAAGTGATCTCTCCCTTTTCACCCATTCCCAGCTTCTGACAAATGTAGGTTAGACACCACTCCTGCCCATCCTAGTTAGTTGCCATTGATGGACCTGACCTCTACTAGCTCTTTCCTGAACTCTGTTAAGGACCTGGCCTTTACAACATCCTCTGGCAAGGAGTTCCACAGGTTTTCTGTGTGTAGTGTGCAAAAATACTTCCTTTTGTTTGTTTTAAACCTGCTGCCTATTATTTCATTTGGTGACCTGAGTTCTTGTGTTATGGGAATACATAACTTTTTCTGGTGTACTTTCTCTACACCAGCCATGATTTTATAGACCTCTGTCCTATCCCCCCTTAGTCTTTTCAAAGTTGAAAAGTCCTAGTCCTGTTAATCTCTGCTCATGCGGCAGCTGTTCCATACCCCTAATCATTTTTGTTGCCGTTTTCTGAACTTTTTTCAATGCCAAGGTATCTTTTTTGAGATGAGGGGACCACAACTGCACGCAGTATTCAAGAAGTGGGTTTACCATGGATTTATATAGAGGCAATAACATATTCTCCGTTTTGTTCTCTATCCCTTTCTTAATGATTCCTAACTAGGGGTGTAAAATCCTGATTAATCAGTTAACGGGTTAAATGGTTAACCTAACATTTAACTGGTTAACTGACCAAGTGGGATCCAGTGGGGGCTGGGGCTGCTGCTACCGTTGCTGGCAGCACGAAGCTCCTGGGCCCAGCTCCAGACTTCTGCCATTGGCAGTGTGCTCCTAAGGCTGGGGGCTGCTGCTGCCGCCACTGCTAGGAGGAGGCTCCCAGCCTCAGTCCAGGGTTGGGCTGCCGCTGGTGACATACAGTTGTGAACAGTTTAATTGATGACGTGGATAAAAATGCATATAACATATATTCGCACAACTGTTACCATTTACATTGATACAGACTTTAAAAATACTTAAACATAAACATCCATATCCATCAACTTTATAAAAAAATCAAAATCAGATTCTGCCAAGCTTAACTCAGGGACGCTTTTTGTGCCTACATCTCGCCATAAATAGCTCTAAAAAGCATTATCTGTAGCTCTAACATTCAGCTAGTGAGCTATGCTGATGTAAATACGTTGCAGTTGTTGCTACCTAAACAAAAATCTTTCACTGTTTACTGAAGTTAGTCTAATGACTGTTCTGCTTTACTGCAGGTCCGTATAGCTGCCAAATTCATCACTCATGCACCACCCGGAGAATTTAATGAAGTGTTTAATGGTGAGTAAATGAAGAAAATTAAACTGTTCATAGGATTTTCCAGATTTTAGCCGTTGTCAGAAAGGAAATGTTTAAAGTGGCTCACAAAATACGCTTGGCAAAGGGGCTATACTTCTTAAGGCCAAGACTTTTCAAAAAATGGTGAATGGTTTTAAATACTGACTTGTGACACCCTGCAAGAGGCTGGATACTCAGCACTCTCTGGAAATCAGACCCTGTTAGTATCTCAACTTAGGCTGTGTCTCCGCTGTCACTTTCAACCGCGAAGCGTTAGTTGTTTAGGGGTGGAAAAGAGAGAAAAGTTTTAGTACTGAAAAGCACCAATATACACAGCGCTTGACTTCTGAGAACTGGGATGCTGGCAGTAAAGCTAGCACTCCTCATTTGGGATGTTTGTTCATTTTTTAATTGCTGGGCAGCCTCTTCCTCCAGCAATAAAGAATGACAGCACTGTAAAGAGGGCAGCATTGACCTACCCGTAAGCACTTAAAAACTGAGCCAAACTCACCCAAATCAGCCATTTTTGAAGTCATGACCCAAGATCCTAGGTTTAACTTAAATTGTTGTGTGATATTTGTTTATATAAGCATGTCATCTGGATGCTGTTCTGTTGTGTTTTCTTAGTACCTTTCAGGCTTGATCTCAACTATTTGAAAAGTCATTCAGATGAATGCAACATTGATTGTCTGGGTGCTCTTTCACTCTGCTACTTTGGAACAGCATTGGTTTGATGGTGGTGTGATGAATCGTAAATGTTCTAAACTGGCTTTTACCAGACAAATGTAAAACCTTATTGTAAAGGGATATCATCAGGTACTCTGAAGCTTATGTTACGGAGATAAATAGAAAGCCAGTTACTATTCTATGTAATTGATTTTGGACCCCATCATCGTAAAAGACCATGAGCTATTTTCACTGTCCTGCAATGGTGTGGCTGGACTTTTGTGGCTAGTTGTTGGCTTATTTTCATTCTACCGTAGCTCAAAAGTGGCTCAAGAGATTCTTTCTCTTAAAAAAAAATTTGTTTTGAACGGTGACCAAGAATGAAAATTCCAGCCCCAAAGGTACATGTTTCAGAAAGTTGTGATAAAGGGAGAGTATAATGGAAAACGTTTAGTTCTTGTTCTTCTACTATTAACAATAATCTTATATAGAGTGTCCTCAGTAGATGTCAAAGCACTTTACAAAGCATCATTATCTCCATTTTAGAAATGGGGAAGCTGAGGCATTGAGCAAGGTGGCTTGCCCAAGGTCACACAGCAGGCCAACTGAAGGAATAGAATCCTGGTCTTCTGGGTTCCAGTCCAGTGTTCTAACCACTTCAGCAGTAGCTAATTCCTTGAGGGGTAGTATAGCCCCTCTGCTTAGCATGGTTATTTATGGTTTACCAGCCTTTAATCCGAATCATTTAATAGACCGCATTGGGGAGAATTTAGTCCCATTATACAACCACACACTGTGTTTAGTAAAATGATTTACAGCTACTCTAATGTTTGTTGAGCGTCTGGTTCCATTTTGGTTTTAGTGGGGCAAAGACAGACATTTTAATAACCTGTCTGAACGCTTTCTTTGCTCTAGATGTCCGGTTACTGCTTAACAATGACAATCTTCTCAGGGAAGGGGCAGCACAGTAAGTATTGTTTTACAAACGTGTGTGTTTGTGTTTCAGTCTAATGACAACAGTGATGTGAACTGCGATCAGTGGCAGAGGTAGTGTAATTTCCCTCTCCCAACCAAAGCACCGGGGAAGATGGAGGGAGGGTCATTTTTCACACATTCTGCTTAGTCTCATTTTTATAATAGAACGTGCACAAATGGGGAGAGCCAACATATGTATATTGTAACTTTTTAGCTTCCTAAGGATACCTGACAGGTACCTGTCAGGCTGTCTGGAGTGGCTCACCATTGTGAGTGCCATCCTTGGGGTGGGCAGACTGTCCAGAAGCAGGGCAGAGACCCCAGTCTGCTTGTATGTTCTACAATTCACTTTGCCCAACCCAGTAACAAGTGTGATTTCCTGAAGTGCAATAACAGTCTTACCAGGGCCACCGACAGTCCCCTTGGGCACTCCAGTCTGTCTTGTCCCTCCAGCATGCTGGACTGAGGGCTTGGTACACATCAGTGCTGCAGCTGCAGTGCTTTTAGTGAAGATGCTACTACACTGAAGAGAGAGGTGGTAGCTATGTCAAAGGGGAAAACCTTCCCATCACCTAGTACTGCCCACACCAGGGGCTAGGTTGGTATAACTAAGTTGCTCAGGGGTTTTTCACATCTTGAAGTGACGTACTTGTACTGATTTGAGTTGGTAGCGTAGACCTGGCCTTACTGAGAGTTGGTTGTTGTATACCAAAGATCTCAAAATATTTGTTGCTCCCATCCCAGGAGACCAGTCATTTACCCCAGGTCAATTTGTACCTTAGCTGTCACACCAAAAATATTTCCAAGAGCTCTGTGTCTATGCAAGTATTAAACAAGGACATTTTCTCTGTCCTGAGGTTTGTATTTACTGGTCTTGTGGGGCACGTCTACCCAGCAGAGCTAAAGCTGAAATAAGCTACGCAGCTTGAGCTACGTCAATTGCGTAGCTTAAGTTTAAATAGCATAATTTGGCTTTTGGAGCTGTCTACACAGCAGGAAGTCCGAGTCAGACCACTCTTCCTCTGGCTTCGCCTACTCCTCGTAAAATAACAGTTACAGGAGTTGGAATAAGAAGTCCTTCTGCACCACATTATTTTGACCTTATGTCAAAATAACTGCTTGCTTTGTAGATGCAGACTATGTTATTTCGGAATAATGTCATTATTCCGAAATACACTGCTGTCTAGATGTACCCTCAGTGAAAATATAAATACTAAAGATTGCACAGTCAAAGCTTACATTGTTTTTCAACTATTAACAGTGCATTTGCCCAGTACAATATGGATCAGTTCACGCCAGTGAAGATAGAAGGGTATGATGATCAGGTAAGGCAGAGTTTTGCTGTTTGTCTTTATAGGTTTTCATGTTCGTGACCATCCCTGCAGTATGACAGTAGCCTTCCATAACAATCTAGATAGTTATGTTCAGGGCTCGACAAATAATACAACCCGGAAGAGCTGGGTTCGGGTGATCTGCATGTGCGTAGAACGATCTGCGCAGATCACCAGACAGTGCGGCTGGCGAGCGGGGCTCGCCGTGGTTCGGTGAGCCCTGGTTATGTTGATAAGATCTTTGGATCACATCAGTTTTCTTTGCAATCAGCAAACTTCCATCCTTACAGAAGAATCTCAGCCTGAATGTTTCCTTTTGAGCATGCTCTGTATTACTAACAACATGGGGCTCAGTTCAGTACTGCTTCCGTAGGCACACCTCCCTGCTGAAGCCCGTGGGAGTGTTGCCTGAGCCAGAGCGAACACAGACTGCTTTTTTGCTGGGCTCTTTGATAGCACTGAAATGCTGTGCACTCACAGCTCCCATTGGTTTCAGCATCAGGCTCTTAAAAATAGCATCTCTTCTTTTTCCATTTCCATCTGATCCAGGCATTCCCTCTCCTGTATAAAAACCACAGTCTAAAGAACTTCCCGTTTGCCTCCAAAAGATGGTCTGGTTTCTGAGCTCTGCACTGGTACGGGACCTGCGTCCCTGTGTCCACCTGAGCTCGTGGGTTTGGTCAAGCGGAGCAGGCACGGGAGATATACCAGGACTACGCTGCCAAGAGAAACAGATTTGACAGACACGCCACAACTTGGGGGAGAGAAATATGATGCTTGGTCTGGCTCCTGAGATGACTCACCTGCTAGGGCAGGGAATGCCCTGTCCGGCTGCTAAAGACCATTCAGCCCAGCCTAAACCCAATACCTAGTGAAGTAACCACCTCTACTCTTTCTCCGTGATCAGAGGAGCAGTTACCGCCACATCAAGGCTTCTGGAAGGAATAAGAGAGAAGGAAATGATGGGTGCCTGAGGGACACTCACCCCTCTCCCTAGGAGTGAGGAAGAAGGGGGGCTTGAGTTATTTAGTATAGTTTTACAGAAGCAGAATAATTGATGCTTGTGTAGTATTTCATACAAAGGGTCCCAAACCATGATGTGAGCTTACTATACTTCCCTGAATGCAGCACCTCTGGACTGGGCAGCTACAACATGGTCAGAGAGGGAGTTTGTCCAAGGATTTTGCAGCAAACCACAAATCATTAAATAAACCATAGAACCATGAATGTCCTTGCAGAGTAGAGGCTGCGTCAGGTCCTAAGGTTTTATCTGAAACCAATAATACTGTGGGTGGTGAAATTTAGCAGACTTGCACTCAGGAACTGCAGGGACACAGCAAAACATTTAAATCAGCATAAAGAAACACTTTGATTTTTCCCTTTTGTCTTTCAGGTTTTAATTACAGAGCACGGTGACCTGGGCAATGGTCGATTTTTGGACCCAAGGAACAAACTTTCCTTTAAGTTTGATCATTTAAGGAAAGAAGCAAGTGATCCCCACCCCGAGGACACAGAAGCAGCTCTAAAGCCATGGAGAGATGCCTGTGACAACGCATTGAGGGCATATGTGAAAGATCACTATCCCAACGGCTTTTGTACTGTTAAGTACCTGCCCTGTTTCATTGATGGCTTTTGCTCCCTGTCTGGTAGTCCCATCGGGAGACTTTGTACCAAATTTTGGCACTCATCTTCATCAGTGTCTGTTTTATAGATCTTTATTCTTGTGCAGAATAGCATGATAATAAGACGAGCTTAGACTTGCTGGGGGTTGGGGCTTTGTGTGAGCCAGTGGCAAAACATTTTCCTTCATTCCCTCCACTACCTGTGGATAAATATGCACTAATGCACCTTGCAGCCCATTCCAGTGGTAAGCTAGCCAGGAAAGGGCACAGATAAGACAATTGATGGTATGTGTGCATTGTCTGCTGTCTCTTAGCTCTGTGCTGTAGCAGGATGTTGAGGCTGCACCTCTGGTGCTGCAGTTAAGAACACAAAGCTGGTGGAATAGACACAGCAAGAACTCAGCACTGGAATTGCTAATTTGTCATTTCTTTATGAAACCAGGTTTACGGCAAGACTATAGATGGACAGCAGACAATTATTGCCTGTATCGAGAGCCACCAGTTTCAGCCCAAAAACTTTTGGTAAGAATATTGGGAAGGGTTTGTGCTCCTGCCCTTGGAGCACAAGCCTTCCTTTCCATGCCTGCTCCCAAGCAGAAGGCTAATCCAGAACAGGCCCTCTGCTTCCTCTCTTGCCCACTTCCCAAGAGCTTCTCCTTCTGGCCTGCTTCGCTAGCAGGCTGGATGAAACTGCTGTGAGAGAGGCCCTGGTGCTGTTGCATGAGCCAGCCAGTGACAAGAGGTGCTGTCGTCCTCATGGTTCCGAGGCCCAAGCAAACTGTACCCTCGGAGTACTGATGCCCTGTGGCCTCGAGCTGCACTGCGCAGAAGGGATGAGTGGTCACAATGCCGGGAGCAGAGGCAGCACCCTGGGCTCTTCCCCATTGGTGCTGAACGCTGGGTTCTAAGATCGCTTGGGCGTTGGTTCTTTTTAGGAATGGCCGTTGGAGATCAGAGTGGAAATTTACCATCACGCCGCCAACGGCTCAGGTGATTGCAGTGCTGAAGATCCAGGTTAGTGCCACTGCCCGCAAGAGTCACAGCGATTGCATTGCTGCTCCTCAAGTAGTGCTTCTGGGTGTGTCTCCAAAAAGTACTGGTTAGGTGCACACAGAGACTGGGACACCTCATGTCTGGTGAATTATGCAGTGGCTGTTAAAGATAGTAAAGAAATGCAATGCTTTTAAAAGTCTGGCCAAATGGGGGATTGTATTACCATGTGCCTCAACCTCTGCACTTCATTCCTGGTCCCTGCTAACCAGGAGGGAAGCTTACACGTTGTCCTGTGAACCCTTTATCTCAGCCCAGTTGTATTGAGTGTTTATCGCATTATCATAATATTGAGAGGTCCTCGCTGAGAATAAAGTCCCTTGGAAAATCCATCCAGACTTTGTTAGTCTCCACTGCAGGCTGAAAGTAGTATCACAGCACTGCAGCTGTGTGTTTCGCCTGGTCTTTGGCTGTCTCTGTGGACAGCACCTAGCATAATGGCTTGGCTTCGTTGGGGCCTCTAGTATAATAGTAATTATAAACTGTGCTTGTTCCTTCTTTGTGCAGGTTCATTACTACGAAGATGGCAACGTGCAGCTGGTTAGCCATAAAGACATCCAGGACTCTGTAACAGTTTCAGTGAGTATGGAGAATTTACAACCTTTCAGCAGCTCTTTCTTGCTGCCTTCAGTCAGCAAGGGCAGCTTTCCTCTCCGATATGACTCCAGTCTTGTGTCGCTTACTGTGCAAAGGCTTTGGATCCAGTTATAGGATGACCAGTCAGTGCAGCCACTTACACTGCTTGTAGACTTCACACTGCAGGATGTTGTCTGATCTTCCTGCTTTGAGTAAGAGTCGGGTATGCCTTAGGGGGAACTAGCTGCCTTTGCTTCCCTTTGCAAGGAAAAAGGAGAATTTGGACTAAAATGCAACACCACATTTCTGAAAAATCTTGCCTCTTCAGCACCAACATCAGGCAATTATGGTTGCTTGGGAGTCCTCCTCACCCGTGCTGAAGAGAAGGTAACTAAGGTTATGTGTCGGGAATAATTCTGGACACTCTGGATGCAGGTGAAAACAAATAGAGGATTTATTGTCCACCAGCAGTGGTGGAGTACCAACCCGGGGTTAATCTGGAGAGCTCTAGTCAATCAAAACATTACATTGCATTATATAGACAGCAGGTGGGCAGAGTGGAAGCAATTTCATAGGTTCTGGAGGCAAGATGTAATGAGCACATAAGCCAATAAACTACAAAAGTTACACAGTATCTCTGCCCACCGCCAATTAAACATCTTATCAGTAATACAGGTAGTTATTCCTAACAAGCTAAATAAGCCAACATAAACAAAAGACATGTTGACGGCAACTTTGTCTGCTGAAATTATTATGCATCTACTGCGGGGGTGATACTGCCGTGCATTGGCGCGGTCCTTGGGATCCAGGCTTATTATCTAGGGTTAAAGGAGACAGTGAGAAGGACTTCCATGAAGTTTGTTTTGGTACCAGCCAGAGCCTTATCGGAGTGAGGCCCTCTTGGAATGAGGTTGCCAGGGCGACCAGGGTCATGTTAGCTGCTTGTTCTGAGTGTTCTCAGGCCTGGCCTCAAATTTTAGGATTTTAATAGGGATTCTTAGCAGAATACCATGGACTGCCTCCGTTTACCCCTACACTATGTCTTACACTGGGAAGATTTGGTGAGAAATGCAAAAGTTGCCAAAAGTGAAAAAAGGTTAAACCCGTTTTTCTGCCTTCCATTGTCGACATTTCCTGGCCACATGGCTAGCACCCTGTTGACAGAATAAAGCAGTGTGGGTAAGCACCCCACAGTGCAGTGTGGTAGGAAGGCAGAGCTGATCTGTGAGCTCTCCGTGCTGGAGAATGTCCAAGCAGCACGGCCGTCTCTCCAGCCCTTCCCCTGTAGCAGCCACCTGCTTCTGTGTCCCTGTGGGCAGAACAGGAGCACTCCAATGATTTGCTCTTTGATCCCCAAATGGAGCAGCTCATTCATCTGTCAGACACTTCTGGGAGCTTTGAAAGGGGAGGGGTGCAGGCCTGCAGGGCAGCAGAAATCACAAAACATTGAGCACAGCCACCAGGGCAGGCATTGTGGGTTACTGTCAGAATCCAGTTCTCTTGAAAAAACATAAGCAAAGTCCACACTGGCTCTTTGTTGACAATAAAGGGAGGGGAAAAGACAAAAGTCTCGCAAGGCTGGAAGCTTTTTGTTGCCAAAACTGGGTGTTTTTCCTCAACTAAGTTGAGTAAACGCTTTCACGTGTTACCAAAACCTGCCTTTTGGTGACAAACATGTGCTAGTGTAGAGAAAGCTAAGTCTTGTAATGAGAAATAGGCTGTAAGGAAAAGCGGGGCAGTCATGTCTGCTCACAAGGCATCTCAATAACACCCAGTTCTCTTTTGCTCACTAGAGGGCAGCCCTGTGTTTCACTTTGTACTGGAGATCAGCTTCACTTAACTCCTGCCTCTGCTGCACCCTGCTGAGCAGCAATCACAGCTGCTAATGGGCACTGGGCCCCATGCAGGTCTGAAACTGTCAGCTCTGTCTGATGCCTAATCCCGGATGATCTAAGTCGGAGTCGTCAATAGGCGGTGGTGGTCAAATTCAGACCGCCAGGCACTTTTGAATGCACCCTACTACCTCTTTATTTACTTATGATTATCATTATTGTTGGGGGTGGGGATTGTTGTTATTTTCTCTGCAGTCTGGACCTTCACTGTACCTTCACCAAGAAATGTGGATCTTGACCAAAAAATAATTGACTGCCCCAGTCTAAGTAGTTACAGAATTTTCATTCTAAAAAGAAACACATTGATTAGATTTTATATTCAGCCTTTGAACTTGAAGGTAATTTTTGTCCTCTTTCTCTGTAGAATGATGTCCAAACAGCCAAGGAATTTATCAAAATCATCGAACATGCGGAAAACGAGTATCAGGTAAGAGAATGTAGCAGGGACAGAGCCATGTAATTCCAATAGGCTTGCTTGTTTTCATGGATTTTTAAAAAGATACTTCCCTCTATTTACAAATGATTAGAACTTGAGAGATTATTGCTCTAGTTTTGTTCTCTCTTCTTTTTCTAGTTCCAGTTTGAACTGTAAATTCTTTGGAGCAGGGACAGCTGTTTCTGTAAGCCACCAGGCAAAGTTATGGGGCTGTGTATGTGCATAAAAACAAATGGCAAAATCAGCAGTATAGCAGAGGATATTAACTAGGCAGCTGGAACGGGGCCTGGAAAGTGCAAAGTCACTAATTCCATTTCCTGAGACGGTCACACTGGGGCAGGCCAATGAGTGGGTGCGCTCACCTCTACTTCCCTGTGACTAAGAGCCGTTGCTAAGGAGAGGTCTGCTGCAGCTTTCCAGGCACTGCTTGTTGTGTGTGTAAAAAGGGGACTGAACACAAGGCCTTTTGCAGACAAATTCACTTGAGAAGGAAGAGGTGGCGAGAGACACCTTTCCTCCACACACAGACACTCCCCCCTGCTCAGTTTGCCTTGTCAGGTGGTAGGTAGCATGCCTGCCTCTAATACTGAGTCATGCTTTTGGAAAGGAGCGACCTTCCTGCTGTTGTAGTTCTGCTCAGACAGACGCTGTCACTGTGCTTGCTCTTGCAGACGGCAATCAGCGAAAACTATCAGACTATGTCCGACACCACGTTCAAAGCCTTGCGCCGACAGCTGCCCGTCACTCGCACCAAGATCGACTGGAACAAAATCCTCAGCTACAAAATTGGGAAGGAAATGCAGAACGCTTAAGGCAGAACTGATGAGATTGAGGAAACGGTGTAGCGTACAAAAAAAAAAAAAAAAAACCCCACAGACGTGGTCGTACGCCAAGTAGGTGGTTTCCAAACCCGGGCGGCATTTTGCTAGGGCTTTCAAAGTTAACAAGTTTTCTAGCTTCATGGAGGACTATTGAACAAATAGCATTGTCTTTGTGTTTTGTGTTCCCTACCATCTAAACTTCTTGTTACTGTATTCACGGGGAGGTCATCTGAATTGATCCACATTAACGGTTCAGTGATAGAGCTCTGTTTGGGAGTCACTGTAATTGTACTGGTTGGAAAATTTCCTAGCCGTGAAAGCCCTTTTATAAACACAGGCAGATGGTCTTGGGAGTGTTTTCCCTGTGCCCTTATGCAGCGCTTCAGGTACTCCAGAACGTTTGTCAGATTGGAAGAGGAGACGCATCTGCCACATTTGCCGGTCTCTGATCTCCACCTAGCCGTGGGCCTAGAGGGTAGACTTTAATATCTGGAATGAGTTTACACGATCCCTTACAGAAATCCCAAACAGGCCAGATTTTCTGTGTAAGTAATTTTTTTAAATCCAAAGATTTGAGCCAGGTTCCCTCTAAGTGAATTTCTTTTTCTTTTCTTTTTCCTGGAAGTATGGTTAACAGACATCTGCATTTTTACAGAGTAGCTAATCCGGTTAATAGTTCTTTTTTTATTATTGTTAAAATGTTAGTATTGTGACTGCTGAGACATTTTGTCTGAATGGAGATTAAATATTAAAGATAAAAATGCAAATGTCTAAGGAATAATAGGTATGTTGTGCTTTAATGCTTTGTGGCAGGTTCCTAGAGTTTGTACCACAGGTGTATGAATGGATAGTGTATTAAATGATAAATAAAAGATTTGCGCCAAAGTGAGAGAGAAATCACTCCCACTCTGACTGTTTCTGTTGGGGTGAGTTCCTGGTTATCCTTAGAGGGAACATTGGGATTAATTACCTGCTTTTGAAAACTTGCTCTAAATTATTCCATTTTTAATAGAATGGAAAGCAGCTGATGGAGGATCATTTCCCCTTGAAAAAGAGAAGTATGTTTTATCTCTAGGGCAATGTTTGCATTAGCACTTTTGTTGGTATAACTTACATCACTTATGGGTGTGAAGAAAGCCGCACCCTGAGTAATATAAGTTACCATGTGTAGATCACTCTGTTGAATTATGTCAACAGGAGCTCTCTCCCGCCTGGACATAGAGCAGGTACATCAGCGGTGTTACAGCAGCTAGCTCGTGTAGATGTGGCCTAAGGAACCAGAACATGGATGCACTGCTAAATGAACTCTGTACATCTAATTTACTCTGCTTCGTTTACATTGTGTTGTCCTTACGCCTTTCCCAAGAGTGTTAAAACTGGCTGGTGTCCTCCTATTTTTAAACATGCAAAGCATAGTGGCAGATTGTGCATTAAACATCAGTTTTGCTCAGTAATACCATAAAATAAGAGTGTCAGTGTTCCATTCTGTGAGAGACGTTTTGTCAGAATAAAATAGATTGGCATTTGCCGTTCAGAATATCCACCCATTCATCCCTCACATGCTCTGTGTGTTACCTACTTCAGTAGAAATACACTAGTCTTGGTTCCAAAGCTGCTTTTGTCTGTCCTTTATGATCTCTCAGATGTTTATGCCTCATCAAAACACCATTCACCAAGACAGGAACTCAGCTCTGCCTCCTGCTACGATGACGCATAGCCTGGCAGGAGTTGTTTGGGGGTAGGAAAGATGCTATGCACTAGGCCAACAGCAATTTCTCCACCAGCTCAGAGAGACCAGCTTAAAATTGGATTCCTGAACTGAAAGGTGTGAGATTCATCTGCCTGTGAACTGCAAAATAATCGCAGCTAATCCAATATTGCATGTTATATTGTTTGTCTCTGTAGTACCGTGATACGCTCTATAGTATCCACCAAACTTTCAACAGTTCTTAGTGTTACTGCCTCCCTGCTACAGCCAACTCCAGAGACAATCAGCATTCTGATTACACATAGGAATAAAACACATTGTACATAACTGCACACTAATGCGTTGTTACAAGGTCTGTTGGCATTTCCATTGCAAGTGAACTGATTTTCCCTTTTGAATAACTTTTAAAATCTACATGAAGCTATCCACCCACATTCATGAAACCAAGTTTCAAGATCAAACATTTGTCAGGCACTTCTAAGAGGGTAAGATTATGCAGCCATTAATTCAGTCAGCTTATGGTGGCACAGTATTTTCTAATTCTTTCAGTATAAAGCCTACTGCATTGCACTTGATGAATGCTTGCCACCAAAATATATAATCCTAGAGCAGCGTTGGAATTTCCAAAGTTTGAAATGCTTCAGCTCTGAGTTGTCAAAATGCTAGAGCTGGAAGGGACCTCAAGAGATCATCAGGTCCAGACCCTGCCCTCACAGCAGGACCAAGCACCGTCTAGAGCATGTTCCTAGTAGATTTAGTTAGCTAGTTTAAAAAATGGTGTGTGCGCGGTGTTGTAGCTCTGTTGGTCCCAGCAGAAGAGAGGCAAGGTGGGTCAGATGAAAGAGAGAAGCTTTCATGCCTAGCAGTTGCACAGCTCTCAAAAGCTTGTCGCTTTCCTCATTGAAAGTCAGCCCAGTAAAACATAGGGCAACCTACTACTGATCCACCAGAGCATTTCATAAGGCCCACAGTGGGGCTTGGGCGGTCAGCCCTGGCAGAGAATTGGTTTCATAGGCGTTTGTGGTCCACAGTGTAATTTGGACAGCACTTCATTGTAAGAAACTGCCTCGCCCACCTTGTCTCAAACAAAATGTCACTGCCACTAACTCGAGAGCATGCTCCTAGCACGGAGCTGTGAGCAAGAGTTCCAGGATCTGTTTCTAGCTTGGCCACTGCTCCCCTGTGTGACTTTGGGTAAACTGCTTCATTGTTCTGCCTCCATTGCCATGATTTTTCAAACACTAGAACATTACCAACTGTCCCAGTCATCTGATGGCAGTAGCACCCGCGGTCCTGATCAACCCTCCTTGGACAATGCCATGTTTAAATAAGCACAGAGACTCCCTTGCACTAGTTCCCATTCTGGGGCCTCATCAATGTTACCAGTTAAGCTAAAACTGATTTTAAAAAATGCAGACTCGAGTAATTGATTTAATTACAGAGGGCAAGTCAATAACCCAGATTTAATGGGATGGAAGAGTCTACATACAAAAGGTTTTCACTAGTTTAATTAAGGGCTTGTCTACCTGAAAGTTAAGGAGAAGTCTACACTAGCACTTCACCACACTGCAACTTTCCACTTCAGGGGTGTGAAAAGACACCCCCCCCACCACCACCACCACCAAGTGCAGCAAGTTACAGTACTGTAAAGTGCCAGCGTTAATGGACTCCCAGTGCTGTAAGGAGGGTGGTTTACACAGAGCCAGGGCTCCTGCCATGGTTACACTTGCATTACTTTTGGACATGTCGATAAAGCCTGGGGTAGGGTGTGAATTTAAAGTGCAGTAGTGGTTCCTGAAGAATTCCACTTGGACAGTCTTTGAAAGCACACCGGGCTTTGGCTGAGCAGGAGCAAAGAGCACTTCTGTGCCAGACTAAGCTGTTCACACAGGGAGTTAATCATTGTCCTAAGACAAACAATGGCCTAAATCAATTAAAAATCTATTGCTAGTGAAACTGGTACCATTTGTAAAAGAGACCAAGCCTTAGCTTGTGTATCAGCTGAGCAGCCAACAACAGGCCGGTGGGCTGGACCACGGGAAAGGTGTTTGCATGGACTGTAGGCAGCATCTCAATTGTCCCAGGGGTAGCCAAGCATTTGCAGTCTGTTGGGTGGAAGGTGCTGAACTACAATGAAGCCATTAACGCTCCGCATTCCTTCCTTGCATTGCCCCAGGGTCCCAGAAACACCGCCTAGTCCCTTTCTAAGCAAGCAGCTGAGTGCCAGGGATGCCCTTTCCTATGGAAATGGACAGGATGCAGCCTGGGGCCGTGGTCTCCAGCCTTTTTATGTGTGAGATCACTTTTCGAATGGAAATGCAATCCAAGATCCACCTGAAACCTAAACAGCCTGGCCTGGCCTCCTTTGTGCCCCTTCTCTGAGGTCCTGCCCCTGCTCACTCCATCCCCCATCCTCCCTCACTTCAGCAGGCTGGGGCAGAGGGCTGGGGTGCAGGCTCGGGCAGTGTGAGAGAGGCTCTGAGCTGGACTTGGCAGGTAGTTGGGGTGCAGGAGGGGTTCATGACTGGGGTGGGGTTTTTCGAGATGGGGGCTCCAGCAGGGCACTGCTTACCTCAGGTTGCTCCTGGGTGGTGCAGTGAGACTAAGGCAGGCACCCCCTTGCCCTGGCCCTGCACCACTCCCTAAAGCAGCCAGAAAACTCCCTCCCAAGCCCTGTTGTGCCCCCTCTGCTCTGTGGAGAAAGGATACAAAGTGGGGGAGGAGGCACCTTGACATCAGCACCCTCCTTCCCCTGCCCTGCCCAGAAAGCTCCTGAGGGGCAGCTCCAAGGGAAAAGAGATGTGCAGCAGTGGGGTGAGGGGCAATTGAAGTCCAGCCCTTGATAACAGTGTCTTGGCCAAACCAGTCAGGATCCCCTGTCAGAGGCACCGGGATCTACCCGTAGATCCCCATTGTCTGGTTGGTGACCACTGGCCTAGGGTGTGTTTATAGCAGGCTCATTTCTTAAGAACATTTCTCCAAAGGGCTCCAGCGCCAGGAGTCACCTGGACACGGCCACCATCCCTGCCCAGGGGAGCGGCACCAGTAGGAACTCTCAAGGGGGGAGACAAAGGGCTAGTGCAAGTCAAGTGAGAACCCAACTGAAACCCAATCCCACGCTTGCCAGAGCGAGTCAATTACACAAAAGCCAGCGTAGGGAGCGGCATGGTCGTCCACTCATAAAGCTTCAGTAGCAGAGCCTGTCTCAGCCATCCCTTTTGCTGGCCCTTGAACCCAGCCCGCGGGTGGCTTCGTGGAGGTTCCAGTGCTCACTGACGCACTTTTCCTCCCTCCTGAGACGCCTGAAAACGAATAAATGGCTTCGCATCCATGCATGGAGGCCTCCAATTGTTTGCCTGACTAGCACCGTCCATGTGGGGAATTTTACAATCTTCTCATAGGACTTGGCCTTATCCACACCCCTGACTCCCTCTGGGACAGGGAAACACCATGTCCCTGATGTACATGTTGGGAAACTGAGGCATGGAAAGGCTTAAGATCACACTGGGAACAAGCGGCAGAGTTGGGCATGAGAGCCTTAACTTCCAGAAAACAGCCTCCCTGTTGTATGCAGTGGCCTCTATTATTAATTTAATCTATCTTCCCCAACCCAGTTTCCTTTCCCAGAATACTCCATGGGGAAAAAAATGGTAGCTAACGAGGTGAGAACTTTAGAAAGGAGTGGTCCTGTGGCATTTTAGAGACTAACCAAAAGAAACAAACTCATGAGCTTTCGTGGGCAAAACTGGTAATACCTGTTCACCTTGGGCCCATTCTTTGCACAGCCCTCTTCCCTAGGCACAACACCAGCCTCCTACCTGCAAGGAAAGGGATCGGCCGGTATCTCCTCTTCTATGCCAGAGCTGCATGCCCTTCTGAATCCAGGCAACTTTCTTTTCTCGGAGGGAGGGAGGAAGCCAGCAGCTGAGTTTACTTACTTGACTTGCATGCCCAGTGGCTGAGTCACTAGCCTGTTGATTAGGTGCTGCCCTGGACAGAGGGTTTTAATTTTTAAAAGGGACAGATCATTCTGTGCTGGGAGAGGAGGTCAAAAGCTGCTGCGCTGCAAGATAAGCACAAGGCCAAGTGGCAGAGACTCACTCTGCCAAGAGCCCCTGAACTGCCAACACAAGCCAGGCTCTGCCCTGGCAAGCCAGCCTGCACCCAGAGTTAGTTCTGTGAAATCACCCTGCTATCCTGCTACAAACCCTCCAGGCAAAAGGGCCTGGATGGTACCAGGGTGCGGGATGGGCTTTGGGCTGTAGTCCTACAAAGGCCCATGCATGCCTGCCCCTGAAGTCAATGGAATGACTCACTAGCAGTAAGGTCACACCTGAATAAATAGGGGCAGCTCCTAATGGCTTCCCATTTCAGATCTGTGCCTGGTGCGAGGATCAGAGCCCCTGACTCCAACGCCTGCAAAATGACCCCTTGGGGAGGCAGGGTGGCCTAATGGCTAGAGGGTGGGACTGGGAGGCTGTGGCAGTCAGTGGCCCAGGCTCTGATCCTGGCTCTACCACTGAGCTGCTGGGACACCTCGGGCTAGTTACTGCCCTGCCTTGTGCCTCAGTTTCCCCATTTGTAACGTAGGGCTCATGATACTGCCTTCCTCTTGGAAGTGTTGTGAGAGCCAGGAACCAGCACGGGATGCACTGAGGGGCACAGGCTCGAGCAGTGGGACAGAAACATTTTGGGACGCAGTCATGGCCCACAAGACACTGGGGACTTGCATGCCAGGGAAGACACTGGGGAGCACTCCCATGCTAGCATGCCAGACAGGGCGCTAGTGCCACGAAGGCAGAGCAGCCTGTCCCTAGCCTCCTTTGGAGACTGTCTCCAGACAGCCACAGCTCCGCACTGGACCAGAGAGAGTAACCGGCTCGGAAGCACTGGCCAGTCTGACTCGCAGCCCCCTCCCCTGCACCCTGTGGCCGCCAAAGAGAGGAGATTTCTCCAGGAGATGCCCTGGGGGCATCCTCCCAACTCAGCATTTTGCAGAGGCTCTGCTGGGAGAGGGGAGACACGGCAGGGACCGGATGGTCGTCCAGGGAGCAAGGGCGGAGCAAGGAGACCTCAGCTCGCCCTGTACCGCACACAATGGGCCCACGTCACCTCAGGGCGGGATCCCACGACGCGTATCCGTGGGCACGAAGCCGCCAGCACACAGGAGACCCCAGCAGTGCAGCGCACGGCCCCACAGCCCCTCAGTCACACTGGGGACATGAGCCCTGCCTCCGCACTGGCTTCCCCAGGACACCCAGTCTAGCCCGGGGCCTCGTCCTACTCAAGGCTCGCAGCTGGGCCCCGCACGGGTTGAGCGGTCACCCTCTGGCACCGCAGAACCAGGGAGAAGCGCATCTGTCCGGGCTGAGGGGCTGCCAGAGACGGGGGCATTAAGTCCTCCAGGAACCACCCTAACGTTCACCTCCTGCTCCCTGGGCAGGCCCCTTGCTTTGCCCTGCCACCTCCAAACTAAACGCTCATCTGGACAATGCGGGTAGGAAACCCACCAAGCCCTGCCCACCTGCCTGGCACACGGCCCCTGCCCCAGGGCGACTGAGAGCCGGTCCCTGGCTGAGGCTGTGTCTACACGCAAAGTGTGGACGGGGGGCTCCCCAGGGGGCAGGGAACGGGGGGCTGGCGCAGCTGAGCTCTCCAAAGGGGTGCGGGTCTGCGCTCCCCCAGAATCCCCGGCGGAGGCCGCCCGGGCCCGGGGCTGGGACATCCCCGCGTCCCTGTGCCTGTCCCGGGAGGCGCAGAGCCCGCCTACCCCACCGCGGGAGCCGCTCCCGCCAGGCTGGCCCC